ACGTGTGAGCTGCCCCAGTGACTTCCAAAGACAGCAGCAACTAGCCAGTACATGTAAAAGTACAGTGCATGTTTGTACCCCTGACGTGCTGAAGGAGAACAGCATGTCAGCTCTGTGGTCTTATTTCCCTGCCCGTTGCCTGGGTCAGGAGATCTCAAGCTGAGGAGATTATTCCAAACAGCTCTCCTCACAGCTGTCACTGCCATCAGAAGCAGGGCAGTCTGAGAAACCGTCAGCCAGAGGCACCGTAAGGAGAAATGTTCGGGCGTCAAGTGGCGCCCTGGGTGGGATGTTGGACATAGAAGGACATTAGGTGAAACTAAATGAGACTGAAGTGATGTGTGGAGTTCACTGAAAGTACATCGACATTAATTCCTTATCCGCACAAATGACTTAGACATTTAATGTGTTAACAGTTTGGAAATGATGTGGATTATATAGAAAATCTACTACCTTGCAGATTTTCTGAAAATCTAACAATATTTTAAAATATACTGTTAAGTAAAAGTAAAAAAAAGTAAAAAAGTAAAAAAAGTAAAAGTAAAAAAAAGTAAAAAATGTTAAGTAAAAAGTAAAAAATACCAGTTTTCATAAATTTTGCTATCCAGGGACTGCAGAGAAGGAACATAGGGATTAAAAATGGAAAAGTCACATACCCGGCAGTTTCCAAGTCTCCTCTCCTCTGAGCCTGGTTCTCTGTCTCCCCACAGAGCATCTCAGCCCCCAAGACTCCGCCCCACAGGACAACCCACTCTGCCCACTCAAACCCCCCCCAGTCCTGGCGGCTCAGCCAGAACCAGAGCAGCGCGGCAGCGCCCCCGTGTGGCCACAGGGCTGAGCGCAGGAGCCCAGAGCTGCCCTTTCTCCTGCTCAGCCAGGCTCCCCCAGGGCGCCCTGGGCTCCCAGCTGCAGGACAAGGTCCACGGTCAGGTTAGGGGTCCTCAAACCTCCTCCTTAGTGAATGACTCTGGCACAGACCTCAGGGAAAAGCCAAGTCTCCAGGTCATAACAGCTGATTCCCAAATTTGGGTTGGGTCCTCAATGTATAGTTTCACTCATTCTCTGAATGTAGCCTTGGACTCCAGAGTCCCTGCTGTTTGTTCCTGCTATCAGGGATGACACTGTTTCCTCCTGGGAACCAATCCTAAGTGCTCCATCCCTAGAGTGAGGAAAGAAGTCGAAGAACACAATCCTTCTGGTGTCCTGTGCTCATTGAATCGGGGGGTGGGCAGTTGGTGGGGCGAAGGGGTATGGGGAGAGGAGGGGCTCCCTGGTCCTGAGCCTTTATCACTTGGTGTCCTACAGTGCAGAAGCTCTAGGGGGTGTCTGCTCAGATCACTCATCACTAGGTTGGAGGTCCAGTCCTGCTCCTCTCTGCTCCTTAGCTACCATTCCCTGGGGGACACTTCAAGACTTCAAACAGCATTTACATCGTATCACCTTCCACATTTCTTTCTTTCTTTTTTTTTAAGATTTATTTATTTATGCATACAGAACTGGGGTACAGGATAGAAGTGCAGAGGTAATGAGAGGATTCACCAGAGACAGAGTGGGGAGCAGAACAGGCCAACTGAGAAGCACACTGCAGAGGGGAGCTGCTGGCACGTCAAAAGAGGTCTTCTACGCATGTGGGTCACCTCCGGGGTGGGATCAACTCATGCTGAAGTGTAAGTTTTAGCATCTTAGTGCTGCGCTTTAACCTGCCCTCAGCAATCTTTTTAATTAACCCATCAATCCCACACGACAAGTTAAGAAAAATAATTCCCCATCGGGATTGTCATATTCATCAGGTAAGTAGATGTTATCACTCAGGAAAACCCACGGTGCAGGCAGGGACAGTATTAGCCCCCCTCTGGGGAGCTGGATGGTGCTCAGGGAGAGCCCAAGGTCAGGGGGAGGGCCTGGGGGCAGCGCAAGGCCAGTCTCCCCAACTCTGCACACTGTGTCAGGGAGATAACAGAGACTTGCAGTGCACAGAGACCTGCAGGCATCTGGAAGCCATGACGTGTGGGAGAGAGAAAATCAGGTCACATAGTCTCCAGCACATTGTGAAGGAAAATGTCATGAACAAACTCAGTGGGTCACATCAGGGCTGAGAATCTCCATAGCCCACCTGTCCTCAGAAAGCCCCCTCACAGGTCCCCATAACTTGGTCACTTCTCTCTTCCCCCAGCCCCTCCCTCACAGGTCCCAGAGTCACACCTTTAGGGGCTGAGAGACACATCAGAGCCCTGGGCACTGTGGCTGCCTGGGGGAGAACAACACAGATCTGGCGAGAGCCACGAGAGAGGAGATCACAGGAGGGACTGATGGGGTGACTCCCCCAGGGGCTCCACCTACACTGTCCCAGGGGCTCAGGGACCCAACCCCTGATCCACACTCACCTGCAGCCTGAGTGTAGCTTCCTCCTTGTCCCCCTGTGGGAAGAAACATGTGAGAGAATGGAGGAGTCAGGTCAGAGCCTTAAGGAATTTTCTAACCCTGGACCACAGGGAAGTTTCCAGAACTGAGACTAAAGTCCCAAGTCAAGACAGGGAAAATGAAGAAAGGAGACTGGGAGAGGGACTAAACCCTTTGGGTAACACATGTGCATGGGTGGTATTCATTACCCAGGAGATATGGAGAGAGGAGATGAGGGGACCCGACCAACTGTCCTTGGTCTGTCCTCAGCAGGGACCTTCCCCTCTGAGACTGCTGGGATCAGGGTCCATCACCAGAGTTAACAAGGTGGACAGTTTGTGATTCATTTTCATAAGTTTTCATAAAAGAGGGTCAGCAGTCAGCTCCAGACTGGGAACACTCTGCGGATGGTGCTTCCCATGAACCAAGTGGGGCAAGTTCTCCCTGGGACTTGAAAGCCCCCAGTGGACAGGACCCCCCACTCCCTCCCTACCTCAGCGCTTTTCCCTCCACATCACAGCCACAGGCACCACAGCCCCAGTGAGCACAGCTCCAAGGAGAACCAGGCCAGCAATGAGGCCCCCGGAGGGGGTGGAGGACTGAGGAGGGGGCTCTGGAAGGGAAGGGGAGGGGAGGCCCTGAGCCCCAGGTCTCATCCTCTGAAGGTCTTCTAAAGGGATCCTGATCCCCCTGAGAAGAGCCTCTGTGCTCACACCCCTCCCTCACCCCATCTCAGGACTCAGGGCTCTGAGTCTCCTACACGTTCTCCAGGAATCTGAGTATCTGCATGCACCTGCCCTCCACATAGTTCCTGATGTCCTCAGCCCAACATGTCACCTCCCACTAGCACTGGGTGATCTGACCCACCGAGTCCACGGGGGTCCAGGAGCGCAGGTCCTTGTTCAGGGCGAGGTAATATGCACCGTCGTAGGCCAACTGCTCGTACCCCAGGAGGAGGACCCCGTCGCGTCCCAAATCACAGCCAGACATCTCCTGGAGGATGTGACACCCTGTGCCAGCACGCTTCATCCCCATGGTCACCCCGCACCCGTCAGCCTGTGGTCCTCTCACCAGGAATACTGAACGGGGATAATTCAGGACTTTTCTCTCTTGCTCAATAGAATACAAGTGGTGTGAACAAGGTAAAATCATGAATTTGCAATAACATGGACAGATGTGGAGGGATTTTGTTAACTGAAATAAGTCAGAAGGGGACAGCCAAATCCTGGAATGTGAAGAAACCAAGCAAGGCCAACTGAAAATCAACAAAAGCAAAGTCAAGAAATCTGGCTGCATGGCTGAGACTGTAAGAGGGGAGCAAGGACCCCATGGACTGTGGTGGAGGACAGTGAGGGCCCAGCATTATGTGAAGGGGTGACATATCTCTGCAAAGGGGTGACCCTGTGCCTCACACACACATAGTATGGAAACTTAGGGGAAGATACACTCAGTGTGAGGGAGGGTCTGGTCCCCAAGAAGGGGTGGTATGTCTATGTGTGTGTGTATGTGCATGTGTCAGTGAAAGGAGAGAAGGACACACCACACAGCAATGGGGTCAGTCATACACCAATCCCCAGCGTAAGTTAATTCCAATCCCACAGCGTGAGCAGGTCACACCCTGATCAGTGCAGGTCAGTGAAGAGAAGCAATGTCAGACTGGACTGAGAAAGCAGAACTGGAGGAGAGGCAGGTGGAACTGACCTCGTGGTTACAATGTAGGGACCTGGGTAGGGACCCCTTGAGACCCTGCTGGGGTGTGGTGGTACCTGCCAGCTCCCTCCCCCAGCCCTAATGTTCACTTCAAGATCAACTCCTTCTCGTTCTCTGTAGAAAACCTGCAGGCCTCAGAGTCAGGAAGTGCCACCCTGACACAAGGGGACACTTCCTCTGTGGGCTGCAACCACTTCCTCTCGAGAGCAGAGATAAGGGGTCTCACAGGCTGGGAGGGGAGAGCCTGTGCCCTGCTGGCCTGGCCCAGGGTCATGAGGAGCCAGGTGACCCCACTTATTGAGCTGAGCCTTTGTCTAAGGTCCAGGAAGGAGGGAGAGATGGAGCAGGGTCCCCCTCAGCTCCTGGGAGAGGGGTAAGGTCAGAGTTGGGGAAATATTGTTTCTCTTTCATTCTGGGGTCCCCCCGTCTCCCAGGTCACCCTCCATGTGCCACAAGGAGAGGGTCTCAGACCCCTCTCCACTGCAGTGTTCAGGATGAGTCTCCCGTGTTCATGGCCACACTGGGGAGAGCACGGAAAGATCCGTCTATTGCGATATGAGCACCAGGAGTGGTGGTCAGTTGTTTACTCTAGAAGGTCTTTTATTTGGTTGTTGCTGTAATGTCACTGCACAGTCGCAAACATCAGGACAGGGAGGAAGTGTTGCCCTGAGTCTCAGGTGCTTTCTTTGCTCTGTGCTGCAGCACTTCTGTGTCCTGGCCTTGACCAGTCTGTGCCTTCACCCAGAATGTGGACAGGGAACGTCTAGGCTACTGACCTCTCAGGGCAAAGTCCTGGTGTGAGCATCTGTGATGCTGAAACAGCGTGTGCAGAGACAGCAGTGCGAGTTAGGCTGTGAGCAGCTGAAACACTGAGGCTTCTCCTGACACTCTTCCTCATTTCCCAGTAGGGGCTGGGGCCACCTGGCCACTCACCCCCACACCTTTGTCTCCCCCCACCCAGACTCCCCAACACCTAAAGAAGTGGCTCTGAAGCCTTAGTGCAGACATCTAGGCCGACTGTTGAACATGCGGATTCCTGGATGGTCCCTTAGAGAAGCGGGTGCAGCGCCTCTGGGGCCTTTCTGAGATGAGCCCCAGTGTTGGGGGCTCACACGTTAGGAGTCCTGGCCCTAGAGCAGAGCACCTGAAATTCCTTCAGATAAGCAGATGCGAGGGGTCCGGTGCAGACCTGATCCACCACTCTGGGCAGGGCTGGAATCCCTTCTCTGTTATGAATGGTGTAACATGAAGTTTCATCAAGGTCACTCTACCTTCTTTACAATGGGGTTCACCATATGATGTGCCCTTCGCCATCCTGTGTCCAGAGCCCAGCGGTCCCCTATGAGAGGGGGTCACGGTGCCTGAGTCTGAGTCCTCAGGCCCGTGTGTGCCATGGCCCAGCCCTGCTCCCCTGCCTGCGCAGTCTCAGCACTGCGGGCTGCGGTCAGGTTCCCTGAGGCCGGGGGCTGGGGTGCTCCTGGATGTGCAGGATGGACCCCATGAGCTGTCCTGTCTGCACCAGCTTCATTATCGGGGGCGCGTCTGTGCCAGGCCGAGGGGACACGTTCTGGGTGAGGAACTCAGGGCTCCTTCTGCCGCCCTTCCTGCCACTGGGAGGCCCGGTCCTGGCCTCGGGCACCTGCCATGGCCACTTCGGTGGGGCTTTCTTGTACTTTCCGTCTCTCAGGTTTTGACTCTCAGATGAGCCCTGTGGGATGGGGATCACATGTTTTCCTCTGGCGTGATATGGGTGTTCATCTGGAGCAGGTGACCCCAATGTAGGCACATCTCCAAGGGCCTGCGCTCCTCATGAGGGCAGGGTCCTCAGTGAACAGTCAGGACCCAGGAGTCTCGGGGTTCTCACTATCGATGCTAAAACAGCAGCTGTTGGATTGATGAAGGAGTCCGACTCCTTGGTTTTGGGGAGGATGAGGTCAGATTGACAGTTCCCATGCTAGTGAACCACTTCAAGGGCTCCAGTCAAATGTGACTGTATTCCTGGGGACTTCCTCATATACGCAGGAGCATCTGTGTCTGTGATTGCTGTCCGCACGCTGCAGTGACTGTGCTCTCAGAAATAGAGGTGACACTCATGGCTAAGAAACTCCGGTAACATTCCTGGGCAATTTTTGTTCTCATCCAAATGACCATTGGGGGGAGTGCACAGGTGCAGCTGACCAGTCCAAGACTTTTTAAAAATATATTTATTTATTTATTTATTTATTTATTTATGCATACAGAACTGGGGTGTAGGTCAGAGGGGCTGGAGTGGTGAAAGGATTCACCAGAGACAGAGCGGGGAGCAGAACAGGCAGATCAACGAAGTACACTGCTGAGGGGAGCAGCGGGCAAGACCGGAGAGGTCTGCTGGGCCATGTGGTCACCTCCAGCGCCGGGATTGAACTCCCACTGAAGCGGCTGCAGCCAGCTTGCAGTGCTGCATCCTGTGAGCCTGTGAGCCCTTTTTAAAAATTATTTTTAATTTCTTTCTTGTACCTATTTTACATCAGCTGTAGTCCCCATCGAATTTCACCACCCATTCACCCGTGCGCCCCACCTGAGTCCTCGGGCTCCTCCTGCCTGCATTCTGTACCTTCTCCCTCTCTCCCCTGCAGAATGTCTCTGACTTATAGTTGTCTGATGATTTTTTTAGTTTTGTTACACTGTTCGCAATTTTAAATTATTATCACTTCTTACTTGATCCTTTAATTGGTTTCCCTATATTCCTCCTAGCTGAAAGAAGGTCATCTGGGGTGTCTTTGTGTGAAGGGCCTCTGGCCCATGAAAGGCTTCATATCTGCCCTCCCTTGGCGCAGGGGGTTAAGGTGCACTGGGAAGCGTCCGCAGGGACTGCAGTCCGGGTCTGGGGCCCGGGAACCAGAAGGGAGAGGCGCATTAGCAGAGGAGGCACAGAGGGGCCTGCTCAGGAGAGTCTGACAGAGATGATTGTTTCAGGCAAAGTTAATACAGCACAAGATACACAGTGTGTTTTGGATGCATCAGTATGTGGCTGTCCTATTCATTACACAAAGATGTGACAAGCGGGAGGTGGCGTTTGTGGGCTTAGCAGGAACAAGTTACAGTAACTGGAACATGACCACACAAACAC